GAAAGAAATTAGAAACATTATAAAATTTATCAAACTCTAATGTAAATTCATATTTTAATAAAAAGCACGCTTAAATGCGTTTTAATAAAAAAAAAAAAAACAGGTGAATTTAGATGTAGTTCAACTGATATTGGGTCAAAATTCTTCTTTTAGAGCTTGTTTTGACTGGGCAAATGTGTACTACAACTTTAATTAAGAGTGGGAGACAAGTTATTGTAGTAAAAACTGCAAGAAAGTTAGTTTTCTAAAACTGGAGGCCAAAGGCCGTCAGTACAGTTTTCTCTGTGAGTTTAAGAGCTAAATCTATAATATTTTCAGAGTATATATAAATCACTGAGCTGAACAAGTTTACTTAAGATGCCGGGACAGGTTGTCTTAGTAAAATAAAAAGTTATAAACGTTTTTAGACAGGCGGTTTTTTTAGTTAATTTTTGTGCAATGGATTTGCAGAAAGAGTTATAGATCTCCTTTAACTCAAGGTTTATAACTTCTTTTTTTTTAATTTTATTAAAAATTTTGAATTTTGATAAAAACATATTAATTTAAAGTTATTAGAACTAGAATAGTGTAATTAAATAGATATATTTAATGTTTTTATAAATATTTGGTGCCTATTTTTTTAAAAAATAGGGTTATGTAGATCATTTTTATATAGTTATATTTATATTTTCATCTAAATTTGATATATATACTAATAAACCTTTTTATTTTTTAATTAATCAATAAAAAAATTTAATAATATTATAAATAAAATTATTAATCTATTATAGTAAAATTTTGAAATATTATATTATTTTTAAAAAATATACTTGTATATATAATAAAGTTTACTTAAATAGATTAAAATTTACTTAGATAATGTTATAGTAAGAAGGCCTTCTTAACTTCTTACTATAACAATAACACAGCTATAGGGATTCTTTACAGGTTTATAGCAGTATTTAAGAGAGAAGTATAGTTCCTTTAAATATTTAGCAACTATACTCTTCTCTAGGCAGTTTGGTTAAGACAATACAATAGTTTATAACTTTATTAACTTAAGAATGATAGACCTCACCTATAGGAATTACTCTAGAGAAGGAATATCAATATAGTTTATAAGTAAAGATAATAACTTTATTAAAAGAATAAGGCTATTCATTAGGTTTCTGTTTCTAAGGAATCCTTTTACACTTTACAGAAGTTATTAAACTAAAAGATAGAAGAAGAGTAATGTTTGTAATTTGCTTGACTTGAAGAAATTCTTGAGGTTTAAATATCTATTAATAATCATTAAAGCTAAGCATCAAAGCTTAATAATTATTTGAGCAAAGTGACAGACATTAGGTGTCAAACATTAAGCATCAAGCATTAAATATCAAGCATTAAACATCAAGCATCTTGTGTCAAGCATCAAGTATTAAATGCTTGTAATCAATTTGTTCTACATAATATAACTAATAAATAATAATAATAATAATAATAATAATAATAATAATAATGCTAACAAATAATAATAATAAAATATATATTTATGAAACTAAACTAAAATATAATAATAAAATTTGTTCTATAATATTTCTGTTTTTTTAAGAAATTTGCTCTGCATATTTATCTTCTAAGTCTTTAATTAAGAAAGTAAAAGCTTTGTCTGTAAGTCTTACAACTTGTATAATAGTCAAGTATTTTGTTTAGTAAATTATAGCTTTCAGTTGAAAAGTGAAAATCTTTTAAATACAATAAGCTTTTTATCAAATGTCTTGAGCTTTGTGAGCACTATTGGTTTTCTGTATTCATTCTTTAATCTGTTTCTGGTTAGCTTTATTTTCTTAAATAAGAGTTTCCAAATAGTAGTAAGCTTTAAAAGTTTTGATCTAGTTTTTTCTTAACTTGACATAAGTAGGAAGTTTTTCTAAAATATCATTAAGTTTTTTCTTTCAAATTGTTTTTTTAAAAGACAAGATTTAAGAAGTTTTCTGAGGTTCAAGAGTTTGTATAAGGTCTTTCTTTATTTTTGCAAAAGAATTTTGTTCATCTAATTCTTCTTTCAGAGTAGAAATCAAATTATTAGTTGGTTTATCCAAACTTCTGATAAGTTGATTGATTTCACTTAAAGCTGTTTCTTCAAGCTGTAATGAAATATTGATAACTTGGTCTGGTATTTGGTCATTCTATAATATTATATTTTGGAAAAAAATTTCTAAATTGTATTGAGTAGCAGAGGTTTGCTTTCAAATAAAAATAAAATTTTGTAGAGCCTGAATAGTTTTAGGTTGCAAAATAATAGAATCTATTTTTAAATAGCCAAATTGTTATTTTAGAGAAATTTGCATGATTTGGTTGTCTATATATATATTTTAAAATAATACAAAATTATTAAAATGTTTTTCATTCCATCCATACCTATTCCTTCTAAATTTTCTCCAATAAACAACAACTTACCAAAGATGAATTCAATTATAATGGAAA